AAACCATCGGTCCTCCTTGGGATCAGTGTGATGCCGAAACCGAACTCGATACTGCAGCTTCGGTTTAGGAGGACGTCCTCTGCCTGTTGGTCTTGGAACTGGCAGTTCTCTGTGGTCCACGATGTCATCAATGTCCACCTCTCCGTCCATGGTTGGGGGCACCATTGAGCGATGAGAAGGAAACTGGTCGGTTTCTTTAAAAGATGCAAGCTTGGAGGCATGAAAGACGGGATAAGTACGGAGGTGACCAGGGACCCGGATGACATAGGAAGGCCCATCTGGGTCATTCCCAATAATATCTAAGACCTCCCATGGTCCAAAGTACTGAGGCATGAGCTTGCAAGATATCCTGGGTTCCTGTCCCAGTTCTGAGGACTTAACCCAAACTCTGTCCGCTGCCTGAAATGTAGAGAGTCAGCGGTGTTTGTTTTCGGACTCTATCATTGCCGCCTGCACCTTCTGCATTTGTTCCAGTGCCTGCTGCATCTTCTGTTCATATCGATAAGTGAATTCTAACGTACCCGGTGCAGCAGTCGGCTGGTTCTCAGGTAATAGAAAATCTAGGGGCAGTCTAGGTTTGAAAGTCAATAGTAAGCTGTTAGGGCTGACACTGGTAGGGCTGTGCACAGCGTTGTTATATAGATTGGCGATGAGAGCAAGCTTCTCATCCCAGTCTACCTGATTGGGCTTGATGTAATGTCGCAACAGGTGTTGGAATACGCGGTTCAATTGCACGGCTTGGCCATTGGCCTCTGGGTGATTCCCAGAAGTCATCTGCAACTGCGTTCCCTGTTCGGCCGCGGCAGCCTTCCACAACTCATTGGTGAATCTGGCATCCTTGTCACTCACAATTGTCTTAGGCAAACCAAAATCCCGGACCCAGTTCTCTTTAAACAATCTGATTATGTACTCGGTCTTCGCTGTCTCCGGCATGGCAATTAACCTAGCGTACTTACTAAATCTATCCACGATAACGAAGATGTGTCTCATTCCGCTCTTGCTTGTAACTAGCGTGTCCATGAAGTTCATGGACAGACTCTCATCAAGCCTTTCCGAAATCGGAAGAGGCTTGAGGAGCCCAAGAGGGGCCCGTGTACGGGGCTAGTCTCCCTGACAGACCTGACAAGTCGCCACGTACAACTTGGCGTCTCTCATCATCGTGGGCCACCGGAACCGCTGCAACAGATTGGCTGCAGTCTTCTTAAAGCCAAAATGTCCGGTGGCATCATGGCACGCCTAGAAACAAACTATGCAAAAACTCTCTATTAGGCACACACAAACGTTTATTCCCTTCCTTCTCAAGGAACAGCAGGCCGTTGACCAACTCAAACTCGACAGAAGTGATTTTATCCTTCGCCTCAAGTCTGTGAATGATCTCAGACATAAATTGATCCTCGCGATAGGCTTCCACCATACAGTGAGTAACGTCGTCCGCAAGCCTAAACTCAGTGATCAGCACACCAAAGAAATCTGGTCTATGCGACAGTGCATTAATAACCTTGTTGTACTCGCCCTTGATGTACTGGGGCTCAAAGTCATACTGCTCTGTGACTTCAATCCAACGCTTTAGAGCGTCGGGGAGCACAGGTTGGATTCTCATCCACTTCAGGGTCTGGTGATCAGTCCGGACGTAGAAGAACCTCCCAAGGAGATAGTGCCTCCAAGGGGTGAGCGCCTTGTAGATCGCATAGAGCTCCTTCTTATAGGTAGACTTAGCCAACTTCTGAGAGGGCATCTTTTTGGACATGTACTCTACCGACCTCAACTTTTTCCCCTCCTGCTGTGCAAGTACGGCGCCTATGCCATATTGGCTAGCATCCGTAGTTACTATAAATGACTTGTTAAGATCAGGAAGTTTCAAGACCTCATGATGCGTCGACGCATGCTTCAGATGTCTGAAAGCAGCCTCGCATCTGTCTGGCCACTCCCATGGGGTGTCAAGGCGAGTCAGGTCAGTCAAAGGGGCGTCAACTATGCTATAGTTCTTCACGAAATTGCGGTAGTAGCCTGTCATCCCTAAGAAAGACCTCATCTCAGTCACAGACTGAGGACGCGGCCAATCACGAATGCTGGCCACCTTCACGTCATCGGGCTTTAATCCCTCCGCGGAAATCTCATGACCCAAGTACAAGACACGGGTGCGGCCAAACTCGCACTTCTCACCGTTGATCTTGAACTTGTGCTGTCGCAGAAGACTAAGGACTTTATCCAAGTGCGCAACGTGCTCCTCGACAGTCTTACTAAAAATAAGTATGTCATCGAGGTACACGATGACAAACTTATCCAAGTAGTCATGAAATATCTGATTCATAGCGTGCTGAAAGGTGCCAGGAGCATTGCAAAGGCCAAAAGACATCACCACAAACTCGAACAGACCGTACCTGGTCTGAAAAGCGGTTTTGTGTTGATCCTCGGGCCGGATTGCAATCTGATGGTACCCGGACTTCAGATCTATCTTACTAAAGTACCGACACCCTTGCACTCTATCTAGCAAGTCATCGATCCGCGGTAGGGGCTCTCTGTTTTTGACAGTGATGGCATTGAGGTCCCTATAGTCAATGCACATTCTAAGTGTTCCTTCCTTCTTCTTGGGTAAAAATAGGACAGGAGACCCATAAGGAGAAACACTCGGCCGGATCCAACCCTTTTGAAGTACCGACACCCTTGCACTTTATCTAGCAAGTCATCGATGCGCGGTAGGGGCTCTCTGTTTTTGACAGTGATGGCATTGAGGTCCTCCCTTCTTCTTGGGTAAAAATAGGACTGGAGACCCATAAGGAGAAACACTCGGCCGGATCCAACCCTTTTCAACGAGTTCCTTGAGTTGCCGGCGAAGCTCATCAAGCTCGTCTGGAGACATCCGATAGATCCTTCCCTTTGGAATGCTAGACCTTGGGATAATCTCTATCGCGTGGACGACCTCCCTCTCAACAACCCCTGTCGGCTCTTCAAATAGATCAGGGTATTTAGCAACTACTCCCTCTATCTCTGGTGGCATTTTCACCGGCTCGCCTGCAGCAGAGACATAAACTAGATACATACCCTCCTCCTGATTTTGCTTATAGAACGCGGCCGCACACATGCATCCATAGGACTCGATCACACTACTAGTTTTGAACTTACGTAATCTGGCGGTCCCTCCACCTGGCAAAGTGTGTTTGACCAGTTTTCGGTCTCAGTCAAACTGGGGCTGTGCCACAGAGAGGTAGTGTATACCTAACAAGATATCCATGGGGAGTTCATCGCTCACTAGGAACGAGACACGATGTCTCAGTTCCCCTCCCGCATACGGGAAACAACACTCAACATCCTGGAGGTAGTCCTTGACTACCATGCGCTGTTTGTTGGCACAGGTCGACTCAGGCGCTGCACTTGCCCCTGTAAGCGCAGCCTCTCAACGCACGCGCGACTAATGAAGTTCCGTGTCGAGCAAGTGTCATAATAGGCCCCGGCCTTGCGACCGCCAATGACCACCTCGCTAACGAACATCTCACCCTTAGGGGCTTTGACCAATGCCGTCCAAGAAGCTAGCAGGTCTGATCTAGACCATTCCGCCTTTAGCTCCTCTAAGGACTCAAACACATTCATTGAACAGAGGCTCGATGGGTCTGAACGTGTTTGCAAGACGACGATGGAGTCAGTAGCCTGGGTCATCTCTCGAGTTGGTGAGGGTGTGTCCGTTGGTGAGGGTGTGTCCACCACCTTGACCCTAGCAGGAACAACTACTATTCCTACTGGCCGGACGTGTTTCCCGGAACGGTGCTAGAATTGCTAGCCACATTGCTGCCAACAGGAGCGGGGGATCCCAACGCCTGCCCCATCGTAGGCAGGATCTTTTCGGTCACCTTCTTATTTCGGCACTTGAATTGGTTATGGCCATATTGGCCACGACGGATACAAGTCTGCCGTGTGTACCGATCTCTCCACACGTCCTCAGTGAGACCCACTTTCTCCCATGGAGGAGCATTGGGGTCAACTTGACTCCTTGACCGGGAACCTCCACAACGTCTACCGGTCGCCTTACCTTTCTATGCTACGGCAGCGACTACTCCACCCGTTGAAGCCTCTACGCTGCCAGCCTCTGAACCTACCCCCGCCTGGAACTCGTCGTCCAACTCGATGGTAGAACCATCGTTGTCGACGAACATAATGCGGCCCTTCGCCTTCCAGTTGGGAGACCATGACTTCTTCCTACCATCAGTGGGATTATGTCCATGCCTTATCTTTGCCTCAAGGTCTAGGGCCTTCTTGCTGAACGAGGGAAAGTTTTGCATATTGATGTTGGCCTCACCTACCAACTGATTCCTGAGAGGCATGGGAAAGCATCTCAGGTAGGAGGTGAGTAAGACCTGGGGGTCATAGCGCACCACAGGGACACAGATCAGACGCTCTGCAGCGTCAGTGGCCTCTCTTACTGACTTAAACTGCCTCGTGTGCAGTGTCAGGATCGCGTCAGTGGCCTTTTGGGCCTCCTGAGGATCGTGCCACCTATCTTCCACCATCTTGAGATAGTCCTCCAGTTTCTGATGGGCTGCCCAAGCGTGGAAATCATGACCGTATCCCTGCAACTGCACTAAACCACTCAACCATCTTGCTTCACTACCCTCTAGGTAGGATGCAGCCACAAGCACTTCCTCGTGCGGCAAGGTAAGTTTGCACTTGACATAGACCGGCACTGCCCTCAACTAAGTGTTGAGGTCTTCGCCCCTCTTATCCCCTGTAAAGGGTTTCGGAGCGGCGATGGCCCTCTTCGGTACCCACTAACTTTGTCCCGGTCCCTGCATCACTCCGGGCTGTGGACCCTGTGATACAAGCTGCTGCACTGACTGCTGGGGCTGTGTACCCTCCGGGTGTACAGGCTGCGAGACAGCAGGCTGCATGCTTACGACAACCTGCGGCGGAGGTTGGGTAAACACTGTTTGTACAAGAACCTGCAAACTAGGACCTGCTGAGAGCCCTCCTGCTAACGACATACCCAGGGAAACGGTTTGGACCGATGTTGGAGCTGTATATGGGGATACCCCAATGACCGGTGGGACAAAAGGAGGAGGATGTACAACGGGTCAGGCACCGGACCCGAACGGTGATGGTGCCGCCTGCATTCGCCCGACTAACACAGCTAGACTCTGTTGGATGTCCTGTAAGATCTCCATCTGGTGATCTTGCATCTCTATTACACTTAACAAGATCGATCGGATGGTCCTCACACCATCCTCCATCTCTGCTGGGTCCATCTCCTCTAACTTACTAATGTCCGCTTGCCTCCGCTGCATCCTGGCTCTTCTTCTAATCATTCTCTCTTTCTCTGCCTTAATCTCACCCAAAGCCTGCTGTAGTTGTGCCTCGCGATCAGCAGCTCGCTGTAGGGCGACCTCCTCGGGAGTCATCACTAAGGGCTGGCTTGCCATTACACTAGTGGACTGACTCAACGTCTGCGCGACTGTTGACCCTACAGATCCTGAACTACCAGCCTGAGAAGTCTGCTGCGCAGTAGTGGCCATGACTGCTGAAGTAGCGGCCTCGCTTACGAATGCCCTGCTTGCCTCTGCGGCCCTAGCTCTTCTCTGCTGCTGCTGCCTCTCTCTCAGCTGGCGGAACAAGTATCTGTCGCCCTCTGGTCCTAATGCCAAATGGTCTATCGGGCGTCTAGCCGATCGCAAGATCCGGTCTGGTGTCCCTATCGCTCATATGCTACAGAACTGCACACCGTCTGCACTAGGACGCACAATGGATGCCTACCGCAGCGAGATGTACAGACCGATATAAATAATCGGCGGCTATATCAAAGACTATACATTCGGGTCTAACAGGTAAGTTCAGATTCCTACAAATAAAACTATTTTTAGTTCGATTAGTTCTCGAACAGAATGCACAATGAACAGGAAACAATGCTAATATGCTCTGTCAGATGTTAATGGTTGTACATCTAACTAATCAAAGCATAAAAATAGAATCATTTGTGTGGATTGGGACAGTATGGAATTTTTCTCAAACTTATCACCTGGAATCTACCCCTCCCTCAGTTCCTCTTGAATGTCACTTGACGTCAGCGTCCCTGAGCCATCCAGAGAGCAGTGCGTGTCTAAAGGGGCGCAATCGGCCCACCCCTGAGCTGGCCAGCTCTAGCACATTGTTTATCCTTGCGTGCAACGAGCCTTACACCGATTGGCTGATCAAGAGGCTAGTTAAGGACTGCCCCCAAGTGTCCTCAGGAATTATTTAACGTCGCAAACAGGACGACGATCACCGCCAATCGTTTCCCCTGCCAGTGTTTATTTATAGATGCCCGGTTCTCGTCTCTCACATAGGGCTGTCCTGCCCCTCAGAACCCATCTAACAGCGCAGCGAGCCGAACAAAAGGACAAGCAGCAAAGCATGTGTGCTCTACTCCCGGTTCTCGTCTCTCACATAGGGCTGTCTTGCACCCAAGGACCACCATGTGCCCCATCCATCATACAGAAGCGCATCTCGGCTATGGCTGCCTGCTCCTTCCAGCTCGCCCGTGAGTGTGTGAGCCTGGCAGGCGATAGCGCAGCAGCGCTTGCACACAAAGCAGCCAGTGCCCGAATGTGCAATGCGGAGGCAGGCCCTTTGCTATATGGGAGTGGCCTTTCTGCGGCTGCGCTGGGTCTTTCCCAAGAAGCTTCCGGTAGGCCCCGGTAGGCCGAGGCCCAGTCCAATACGAATCAGGCCCAGGGCCTGTGGTGGTTACTTGTGCCCAACTGCCATCGGCCTGTGTTTGGCCCATACCCCATATCCAGCCCAGGGCCTGCCTTCCATACATGCGAACAGGCGGCCTGGGCATGGGTGCTCCAACCAACTGGCGCTGCGCAACTGCCTGAATATTCCTCAATTGTCTGGTGTCCGAAATGGGGGCCCTCAGGCCCTCGTCGAGCCTGCCTGCACTCAGGGCGGCCGACGTATTAAGTGACAGCACTGACAGGGCCAAAAAGGGTCTCATCGGGGCCTTGGCCTCGCATTAGTGACAACTTCTTCGAGGCGTCCACTGAGCTTACAGGCTGTAGTGTAAATGCTTTACTCGTTCGTGATGGGGAAGAAGGAAAAGAAGAAAAACGCTCCTGTCTCTCTCTCCTGATGATGATGATGATGATGCCCACATATACTGACCAGCGAAAAGGGGACGAGTTGAGGTAGGTCCCTGTAAAGGTGACGACTTGGGGAGAGGTCGCTGATGAAGGCCAGACGTGTAAAGTCTCAGCTATGGCACCCAGGTAGGTCCCTCTCACCCCCATGGCTACGGACACCTTCAGCCTCTCCTCGCAAGCCTCCTCTCCTACTCTACACTGGTCCTCTGCTGCAGTACTCCCAGAATAACGCTGCACTCCAGCAGCATGTCGCTCAACTGATGCTCCAGCACACCATCCCCAAAATAGGCTGGCCCAGCTACACACAGCTGGGCCTAGCTGTGCTGCCCTCGGTCTGCAATCAGGACCGTACAATCTGTGTAGAATTGTGAGGTCCCCGACCTCCTTTCATATGCAATATAAAGCTAAGCTATGTTCTCAGTAACGGGTAGAATTGTGAGGTCCCTGGCTGCCTCCTTTCAAATGCAATATGAAGTTTGTGTTTAAAAGAGAAGAAAGAAAAGAAAATTAGGAAAACATCATCCGTGCTCTCTCTCTCTCTCTCTCTCTCTCT